GTCCTTCTAATTCAATGGTTAACTTTAAATCCCCTATGAAATAATAAATTTCTGGAGGAATTTAAAGGGTGTTAGTGTCGTGAAACCCTTATGTCTACACAATGCTGGATATCTTACAAAACAAACGTAAAGGTAAAACTTATTAAAATTAATTATCATGTTACACAGGTAAGCCAACATTATGCCTCAAAGAAAAAACTCGGTTGACCAGATTCCCGCCACTCGAGCATACAACACACGATCGTGTAGTCGTGCAATGGAAAATTCAAATGTGAATGAGTCAGCGGCCTTAAATGATCGGATGGCTGCAGTGGAGTCTAAAATGGCCAAAATAAGTGACATGATGAAACTGCTAACAGAGGCTCTAAAAGGAAGGAGTGATGATAATCCACCACAGAATACCATAGCAAATGAGAACGCAACTAACAGAACAATTGAACTAAACAGAGGATCAGATCCTAAGGTACCCACGCCAGAGAAACAAGATTCTAGGATAGGGGCCTTTAACGTACCAGATGGTCCTGGGGAAGATCATACCTATGTGTTCCAAATCCCACAAGTGTTACATGAAGAGAAGGAGTTAAAAGAAGAACTTGGAGAGATGAAAGATCAATTGAAGACTCTTCAAGGATCGAACACGTGGGGTTCCTTAGACTTGAAAGAATTATGCTTGACCCCAGAAATTGATGTTCCCAAGAAATTCAAGATGCCAAACTTGATAAATATGATAGTACAAGTAACCCAATTTATCATTTGAGGGCCTATTGCACAAAGATGTCCATATAGTCACAAGATGAGAAATTTTTGATAAACTTCTTTTCTGAAAGTTTAACTGGAGCTGCACTAACCTGGTACATGCAACTAGATCAAACCAAGATTAAAAGATGGAAAGACCTTGTGGATGTCTTCATGAGACAATACAAATTCAATCTTGATACTGCTCCAACCAGAGAACAATTGAAGGCGATAACCAAGAAATCATTAGAATCATTCAAAGAATATGCTCAACGATAGAGAATAGTGGCTTCACAAGTGCAACCTCCCATGGTGAATTCTGAACTTTGCTCATACTTCATCCGTGCACTGCCTAAGCCATTTACTAACACATGATAGGAACACATGTCACTGATTTTGCTGATTTAATGGTAATTGGGGAAAGGATTGACATAGACATACGAGAAGGAAAGATAGCCACTTCTCAAGCTGAAAGTAGTTCACGAAAGAACTATGACTAAAAAAAGAAAGAAGGGAATGTGAACTATATTCAACCTGTAAGACAAGCAGCTACCAGTTCTCAAGTCCCTTATCAAATAGAAGGAAGGAATCAAAGACAGCAACAATTTAGGTTCAGGCCTAATAAGCATGGACAGGATGGAGAGAGGAGAAATGTCCAATCTAGGGATAGTCGCCCATGGCCTAATTTTGGATTAACAAATGCTGAATTGTACCATAAACTTTTGATAGCCCAATTATTAGGTCCGCGGCCTTATAAGCCTCTTGGTCCACCTTACCCGGCATGGTATAATCCAAATGTTGTTTGTGAATACCACATGGGTGCACCTGGACACTCAATAGAAGACTGTGTGACGTTTAAAAGGAATGTGCTAGACCTGGTTGATTCTAACCATATCCAGCTTAAAGAAGAGGGAAGCTCTACCCTTACTACTGATCCACTCCCAAATCACGAAAAAGAGTCAACGCTATTGAAGAAGAGGATGCGTGCTTCAAAAGCTCCGCAAGGATTAGGATGCCTATGAATGAGCTTTATGCTCACTTAAAAGAGTATGGCTATATGTGAGAAATACTCCTCACGAATAATATCAGTGATCAAATGCTTGGATACTGTGAATATCATCAGGAGAAAATAGGCCATGACATAGAAAGTTGTGAACAATTTAAAGAAGCTGTTAGAAAAATGATGGCGTTAGGGGTCGTGTATTTAAAGAAGGGAGACGCCAAAGTGTGCATGGTAGAAAAAAACATATTGAGCTTGTCATTAAAAATTCAAGCCTAAAAGAGCGGGTCCAGGCAGTCTCTTTTATGATAAACAAAGCCTCTGCAGATCTTGCACCTCACGTAAGACAACCAACATTGACCATAAGCACGCCTCATCCCTTTCCCTATGAAAGTGATCGAGTAGTCCCGTGGAAATATCAAGCATTGTGGAGAACCACAAAAACCCAACGTTGATTGCCGGGACAAGTAATGAAATGGCAAACCAAGGGGTTGTTACTCGAAGTGGAAAACCATACTTACCATGTTACATTAGGAAAATGGTAAAAGAGAAAAATGTAAGTATTGACAGGCCAAAGGAAGATAATCCTAAAGAAATGAAAAAATTAGAAGATGAGTTTTTATCGATTATGAAGCAAAGTGATTACAGCATTGTGGACCAATTGAAGAAAACTCCAGCGCGTATCTCCATACTTTCTTTGATTTTGAATTTCGAAGCGCATCGCCAAGCATTGCAAGAAGTGTTGAATCAAGCTTTTGTGCAGCCTAATATAACCCCTGAGAAGGTGGCAAGTATAATGAATGTTGTAAAAGCCTTCTCTACTATTTCCTTTTCGGAAGAGGAAGTTACAGAAACCGCTGTCCACCAAGCCAAGGCTTTGCACATCACTTTGAAATGTGAAGGGTTCATAATCGCAAGTGTATTAATTGACGGAGGATTAGCATTAAATGTCTTGCCGCTCTCCACATTTAAATCATTATCACTAGAAGCTTCAAGTGTTCATAAAAGCAATATTGTGGTAAGAGCATTCGATGGTTCAAGATGGGAAGTATTAGGATCCGTTTGTCTCTCCCTGGAGATAGGGCCAAGCAGGTTTAAGGTGGATTTCCAACTCATGAACATAGACCTAAGTTACACAATGCTGCTAGGAAGGCCATGGATTCATTCTGCTAGGGCTGTTCCTTTTACCTTACATCAAAAGGTTAAATTCATCAGTGATGGGAGAATTATAGCAGTTAAAGGAGAGGAGGAAATCATGGTGAGCAAACCAAGCTCACTCCCTTATATTGAGGCTGCAGAGAAAGATCATGGAATTTCCTTTCAAAGCCTAGAGGTCGAGGGTATTTGCGATAGTACTCAAAACATCAATTCCGTCATGGCTAAAATCATGGCGAAGAGTGGGTTTATGCCAGGGAAAGGTTTAGGCTCTCATTTACAAGGAATTACGTGTCCAATTAAGGTTTTGGATAATTGTAATCGCTAAGGGTTAGGTATGAGCCTACCGTAGAAGACCAGATAAAATACAAAGTAAGTTTGGCAAAAGGCAAAAAGGCCAGTAAATTGGAGATTCCACACATTAAAGAATCCTTCCCAGGCCTGTCTGAGGTGATATATGAACCAACTATCTCAGTGATCACTTTTAATGAAGATGTAGCATGTAGAACAAGTGCCTCAATTGCAGTCGACGATTCCAACAAAGTTCTGGCGAATTAGGAGTTTGAAGAGGCCAATGATGTCATTAGCTTAGAGTAATTGTTTCAATTATGTTGTTCCTATTTTGTTATCCACTCTTTAAGCCCATGTTTAGGTAATAGATCTTGGGTATTTTCTAATGCAAACTTTTGATACACATAATTCATGAAAATGAATTTCAATTGCATTCATGTCTATTTCTTTATTCCACCCTATCTTCTTCAATACATTTTTCTCCGTTTCATTCCTGTTCCTTATTTTATCTCATTCCATATTCATTATCCAGGGATTTTGTTTCTTCTGATTCCATCTCTCACCCAGAGATTAATAAACCCTATGAAGATGATTCATTCGTTGCCACTGGTATGCATGATTGTGAGTCTGATGATGAAGACATAATCCAAACTTTTTCTAAGATGCTTGAATTGAGTGATAAGGGAATATGCTCACATGAAGAAGTGATTGAGATGGTTAATATGGGAACCGAGGAGGATCAAAGAATGCTCAAAATAGTAGATAATCCTGAAAGGGAACAAATGATTGAGTTGTTTAAAGAATATATAGATGTGTTTGCATGGTCACATAAAGATATGCCTAGGCTAGACCCAAGCATTGCTTCTCATAAAATACCATTACTTCCCAAGGTCGAGCCTAAGAAATAGAAGTTAAGGAGAATGAACACGGGGGTGTCCTTGCAAATAAAAGAAGAAGTAATAAAGCAGTTAGAAGCAGGATTTTTGGAGGTAGCAACTTACCCACAATGGGTGGCAAATATTGTTCCTGTTCCTAAAAAAGATGGTCGGATTCGAATGTGTGTTGATTATCATAATTTAAATAATGCGAGTCCGAAAGATGACTTTCCATTACCCCCACATTGATGTATTGGTCGATAATACTGCTCGAAACTATCGCTATTCCTTTATGGATAGTTATTCAGGGTACAATCAAATCCCTATGCATGAAAGGGATAAAGAGAAAACAACCTTTACAACCCAATGGGGAACTTATTATTACCGGGTAATGCCTTTTGGTTTGAAAAATGCTGGGGCAACTTATCAACGAGCTATGGTAGCACTATTCCATGACATGATGCATAAAGAAATTGAAGTATATGTAGATGATATGGTAGCTAAATCAGCAGAGAATGAGAGTCATGTTGGAGTCCTTAGAAAGCTATTTGTGAGATTGCGCGAATATCGGCTAAGATTGAATCCTAACAAATGCATTTTTGGAGCTCTTTTTAGGAAGTTATTAGGATTCATTGTGAGTCGTAAAGGGATAGAAGTAGATCCAGATAAAGTGAGAGTAATTCAAGAAATGCCATCTCCCCAAACACAGAAAAAAGTTAGAAGTTTCTTGGGACATTGAATTACATTGCTAGATTCATTGCCAATCTAACAGCCACTTGCGAACCAATGTTTAAGCTGTTAAAGAAAAATTGCAAGGAGACATGGGATGATGATTGTCAAAAGGCCTTTGATAAAATTAAAGATTATTTGTTAAATCCCCTAATTTGGTCCCTCCATCACCAGATCATCCACTAATCCTTTACCTAGCAACTTTACCTCACTCAATGGGAGCAATGCTAGGTCAACGTGATGATTCTGGAAAGAAGGAAAGAGCAATTTATTTCTTGAGCAAGAAGTTTAATGAGTGTAAAGCTCGTTATCCGGTGATTGAGCAAACTTGTTGTGGACTAGTATGGGTAACTAGAAGGCTAAGGCAATACATGCTTTACTACACTACCTGGCTAATCTCACGAGTGGACCCACTTAAGTACATCTTTGAGAGCCCGCACATTGCAGGTAGAGTACTAAAATGGCAAGTTGTACTATTAGAATATGATATAAAGCATGTGATGCAAAAGTCAGTCAAAGGTAGTGCAATAGCAGATCACTTGGCTAATAATCCTTTAGAGGATGACCAGCTATTAGATTTTCAATTTCTTGATGAAGGCATATGCACTACAGAAGAAGGTTGTGATGAAGGAAATAATGAAGAGCAAGAATGGGAAATGTATTTTGATGGAGCCGCCAACATGCATGGAAATGGGGTAGGAGCGGTGATCATTTCACCAAAAGGAAAACAATTTCCAGTGGCCATCAAATTAGAATTTGATTGTACTAACAACATGGCAGAATATAAAGCTTGTGTTAATGGTCTTCAAGCAGCTATTACCCTTGGTATACGGTGTTTGAAGGTATTTGGTGATTCAGCTCTCATTATTCATCAAGTAACAGGAGAATGGAGAACAAAGGATGTAAAATTGATTCCCTATCAAGAACTCCTAACAGATTTAATTAAGCAATTTAAGGTTGTTAGCTTTCATCACTTGACTAGAGATAAAAACCATTTCGCTGATGCTTTAGCCACTCTAACAGCAATGATCCAACTTGATTGTGGAGTCCATGTCCAACCCATCCAAGTGGAAGCTAGAAGCTTTCCAACGTACTGTCTGAATGTTGAAGAAGATCGAGAAGAATATCCTTGGTTCTAGGATATTAAGGATTATATCATTAAGAGATCATACCCAGCTGGAATGACTGAGAATGAAAAGAAAACCCTTCATCATTTGGCTATGACATTCTTTATCAGTCAAGATGTTCTGTACAAGAGGGGTTATGATGGTACTTTACTTCGTTGTGTGAGTTCAAAAGAAGCAAAGAAAATCATGGTTGAGGTACATGAGGGCATATGTGGCACGCATGCGAATGGTCACACTATGGCTAAACAGATTTAAAGGTGTGGCTACTTCTGGCTAACAATAGAGAAAGATTGCTTTGAGCATGTCAAGAAATGCCACAAATGTCAGATCTATGCTAATAGGATAAATGCTCCTCCAATCCTATTACATAATTTAGTATCACCCTAGCCATTCTCAATGTGAGGCATTGACATTATTGGCCCAATTAACCCAAAAGTTTCGAATAGACATCGCTTCATCCTTGTCGCGATTGACTATTTCACAAAATGGGTAGAAGCAAATTCATTTGCTAGCATCACACAAAAGACATTCCTTAAATTCATGAAGACAAATATTTATGCCGATATGGGATTCCTGAAAGGATCATTACTGATAATGGTCCCAATCTCAATGGAACGGAAGTCAGGAACTTTTGCGAGAAGTTCCAAATCAAGCATCATAATTCAGCCCCATATAGACTTCAAATGAATGGAGCAGTTGAAGCAGCCAATAAAAATATTAAGAAGATCATTGGAAAAATGACAGTAACTTATAAGGATTGGCATGAGATGCTTCCCTATGCTTTACATGGTTATCATACTACTACATGCACATCCACAGGGGTAACCCCATACTCCCTTGTTTATGGAATGGAAGCTGTTACACCCATCGAGATGGAAATACCATCTTTAAGAGTATTGGCAGAGGTAGATTTAGAAGAAAATGAATGGATACGAACCCGATTTGAGCAACTTAATATGATTGAAGAGAAAAGGCTCATTGCAATGTGTCATGGACAATTGTACTAAAAGAGAATGGCAAGAGCTTTTGATAAAAAACTTCGCCCATGGGAATTCAGTGCTGGTAATCTCGTACTCAAGAAAATATTGCCTAACCAAGAAGATAATAGAGGCAAATGGGCTCCGACTTATGAGGGACCTTATGTTGTCAAACATGCCTTTTCTGGAGGAGCACTAATCCTAGCTGACATGGACGGTCAGGAGTTAGCAAAGCCTATTAACGTGGATGCTGTTAAGCGTTACTTTGCTTAAATAGAAAATGAAAAAGAATGAAGCGCTCGTTAGGTTGAAAACCTGTAAAGGCAACCTAGGCAAAAGTTAGAGTCAATAGAAAATGAAAAGGAAAGAATAGCTCATTAGGTTAAAAAAAAACCTGTAAAGGTAACCTAAGCAAAAGTTAGAGTTAACACAAAAAAAAGGGGGGGCAAAGCCATGATAAGAAGAAGAAGAGTTCGCCAAGATAAAAGGATGTCTTAGGAGAAGAAAAGGAAGGCATCAAAAGTTAAGTATCTATGTTTGGGAAAGTTGACTCCATCGTCTCTCATATTATGCATATCAATAGCAGCCCAGTGAAACACCTGTTAGGGTTTTGAAAAGTTAAAGGAAAGAGATGTGATTAAGTAAATCCATACATCCCATTTGCGCTTTGGCCATTTGTACTCATGAACCAAGATATTCCCATTTCTCTATGAATTTTAGCATCAGTGAATGAATTTTTTTTTTCCGCCCTTGCTCCTTTGAGACCATCTTTCTTCTCGTTTCGTGTTATCATATTCGAATTCATATCTCACATATTACAGTAGGTTCGCATTCAAGGAACAATATTTATTGACACATTTACTTGACATAGAATGTTGGTATCTTTATTCTCGCCTTTCGCCCTTGAGGTATCAAGATCATTGCATAGGTGTAAAATAATAATGAGAGCATGTGTGCTGTCAGTGTTCGGTCATAATAGTTGATCTCATTAGCTTGAAGACAAGATCAAGTGATGAGAATTTGGTCATTGGGATTTTCTAAAGAGGGGCAACGGCATACTGTGATACTACACCTATTAATGAATAAAGGTTAAATAACGGAATTGGAGGTATTACCTTATGTTCGAAATGATTTATTCAATGTGCACAAAATTTTCAAAAAAGGATAAATACTAAGATAGTTTTCAACATTAAGCTTTCCAATAAAATTTTTGCAATACATTTGCATTATAAATACATTTGCCTTAGGGCAAATAAGCGCGTCTTACCCTTTGCATTTTTCACAAAAGGAAGTCTCATAAATTGAGACAAACAAAGGTTAAAACCTTTTACATTGCAAATCATCCATCCATGGTATATTGTACATATTCTCAGCACTTATGAAAATCATACACGGCGCATTACCACATTGCATCCCTTGTCATGGAAACACGCCGCATTTGGATTGGGGCAAAACAACATATAAAAAAAAAACAACAACAACAATACAAAAAAAAATTTAGGAAGTAAGAGAAGAAATAACGAACCTCACCTGTGAGTTTCTCATATCTTTCACGTGAAATAAAACCTATTCTCACCCCTTCAAAGCCCTGTCACGACAGGCACCTTAAAGCCCAGTACTGACTAGCACGATTCTTTAAAGCCCTGTAATGGCAGGCACCCCAAAGCCCTGTCACGGCAGGCACCTCAAAGCCCAATATCGGCTGGCACGATTCTTTAAAGCCCTGTAATGGCAGGCACCCCAAAGCCCTGTCACGGCAGGCACCTCAAAGCCCTGTCACGGCAGGCACCTCAAAGCCCAGTACCGACTGGCACGATTCTTTAAAACCCTGTAACGGCAGGCACCCCAAAGCCCTGTCACGGCAGGCACCTCAAAGCCCAGTACCGGCTGGCACGATTCTTTAAAGCCCTGTAACGGTAGGCACCCCCAAGCCCTGTCACGGCAGGCAACCCAAAAGCCCAATACCGGCTGGCGCATTTCTTTAAAAGCCTTGTTATGATGGCACCCCAAAGCCCAGTACCGGCTGGCACAATTCTTTAAAAGCCCTGTCACGGCAGGCACCCCAAAGCTCAGCAACGGCTGGCACAATTCTTTAAAGCCCTGTGATGGCAGGCACCTTTTAAGCCTTGTAAAGGCAAGCATCCACCAGGTCCTTTGGAACATAGGCAATTCATCTCCATTGAGGTTTTGTTTTGTTTAGTTCCTAAATCACATTTCATTTTAAACCCTTCATTTTGTTTTGTTTTGTTTTGTTTTGTTTTGTTTTTTGTCTTTGTCTTTTGTCTTTTGTTTTTTATTTTTTTTTTGTTTTTTTTTGTTTTGTTTAGTTGTAGGTACCTAAAAGTCTTGCCCCCCAAACAAAATACATGTTTCTCTCTTCATTCATTCCTAAGCTAAGAATATCTTCTCATGAAATTCTCACTTAGAAATCAAATGAAGAGGAGGCATCTAGTCAACATATATTTTGTTTGGATCGTTGTCATTTAGTCATTTTCATTCACATCACATTGCTAAAACAAAAAATCATTTTATTGTGTTTGTTCTCCAATAATCTTGCATCATTTAGTCATTTTGATTTGTGTCACATTACTAAACAAAAAGAAAGAAAAAAAATTCATGTCATGGTGTTGGTTAAGCAAGAGTCTTGCATTTGATCATATCTTGTCGTGTCAGGGGTAATTAGGTCTTTTTTTTTGCATGGCCGACCAAAATACATGTTCTGTCTTTACTTGTCACTTATGTAAGAATTCAAAACACACTTTTTCATATACTTACATAAATAACAAGTAAAGAGGGGCAACTGTGAACACCGTATTTTGTCCGGACTTTTTTTAATAATAAAATCAAAAAAATATAAAATAAAATAATAATAAATAATAATATAAAGATGAAATTTAATCCCTTTTAAGATTATATTTTCAAGAAATAATAATAATGATAATTTAACAAAATCAAAAAGAAAGGTTAAATCGTGAAAAAGAAAAATCTCTCCCAAATTCTCCCAATCATTCAAGAATATTGGGAGTCTACTTTTGAGAGTTAACTTTTCTCTCCTCAATCCTATTTTCATTTAAATACATATCTTATGTGTGTGTGTGTGTGTGTATTAATCAGAACCATTAATAAAAAAACAGAAAGAGCTGGACAAAACGCTGATAGAGTCAGCGTTTCATCACAGACAGTTAGGCACACACGAGCAGAAACTACACACACACACGAGAGAACAGAAGGAAAAAGCACAGCAAAGAAATGCAGAAACAATAAAGAAACATAGGCACAGAGACACAGAAACAAAAACAAGCACACACTTTCGGCCATACAGCAGGAAAAAGGACAGAAACAGCAGAACACACGAACACATGAGCCACGGACGTTGTCCATTCTCTACATAAGCACAGAAAATAGAGACAGAAACACAAAAGAAATAGAGCAGGAGAGTAATGATTCACGTTGTCCATTCTCTACATAAGGAGAAGATGGGAACAGTGAAACGGAGGAGAAGCAACGTAAAAAATATATAGAGGAAGAGGGACCGAAGGACGTGAGGCAGAGAGCTAAGACGAGGAGGAGAGAGAGCTAAGATGAAAACGAAGAAGGAGGAGTCTAGAGAGGAAGAGAATACGGTGACTGGAAAGAGAGAGCTCAGACAGAGGAGAGAGAGGACTGAAAGACGTGAAATAGAGGCTGAGACGGAGGAGAGGGTGAAAACAGAGACAGGAGAGGACGTGGCAGAGGAGCTTTTCTTTCTGGAAAAGCTGAGAAGGAAACGAGGGAGGCCAGAAGCTGAACGAAAAAAAAGATAGAGACGGAGAGAGGTGAAACAGAGGCTGAGGGAGAAAGACTATTCTGGCTGGAACAAAGTAGAGGAAACGAAGAAGAGGAGTGCGTTTTTTTGGCTGGAGAAAGGAAGGAGAAACGTGCGCACGGAAGAAACAGAAAACAGAGCATGAAAGGAAAAGAAGAAAAGAGGCGGAGAGGAGAAAGAAGAAACAGAAACGGAGAGGAGAAAGAAGAGGCTGAGACGTGAAGGAAAAT